AGATATAAAGACATGATCATTGAGCAAAACCAGAAACCATAACAAACTAACAATTAACACAGACAACAAGATGCATTCACCTAATCACCAACCAAAACGCCCAAAAGCCACCCTTGTCACAGCCAAAAAATTAGAAAATCCTACTACTTCAACTTCACCAGAGGTCCAGAATCACAAAAGCATTAATACGAACAACCACAAAATCAAAGTAACCCAGAGACATCATTCAAACTTACCTGCTGTTTGCAGAAGTGGATGCCGATTTCAGAATTGGGGAAAATCGAATGAAAATAAAGATCACAATCCGATTTTAGGTTCTTGATTGCTAAACTAAATTATTTCTACAGAAGACCGATTTCACATATGAGAAATGAAATGGATTTGGGCGTTAGGGATTGGGATTGGGATTGTGGCGTTTGGAAATGGGAACGGTAAGAAATGGCGCGTACTCCCGTGGGTGGCAGCGGAATTGGAGAGAAAAGTTCCGCCTCGCTTCAAGTCCGGCCCTATCGTCGGCGTCGAGAAGAGAGAAGCCGGCGGGAGGATGGAGAGAAGAAGAGATGGGACTCTGAGTTCAGAAGCGAGAAGCCAAGGACAAAAGGGTGTTTCAAGTGTTTTGGGATTTTTACTGTAGATAACACTGAAAATGCCCAAAACGAGATTTTTCTCGTTTTGGATTTTTAGTACAATTTTTTTTTTTTTGTTTTCGAAAACGCGTTTTCGAAAATAGGGAAGAGAACGCGTTTTCACTATTTTGGAAAATTGAAAATAGAAAACGACCTGAAAACGGTAAAGAGAACAGGGCCTTAATAGTTTGTTTCCATCAACGAAGGACCACAATGCAACAAAGATGATAAGTTGATGACTTAAGAACCAAAAAATAGGATGGGACCTATTTGTTACTAAGTCAATAACTTGGGGATTAATTCTGCAATTGCCCTTCGCAGTTTGTGGGGAAAGAGGATATAGCGAGATATGATGATGTGGTGGTAAAGATAGATAGAGCGAGAAACCAACGGCTCTTTTTCCTGTGGACACGTGGCAGACAGCCCACCTTCTCCGTCGCCGTCACTGGAAAAGCCTTAAATCCGACGACCCTGTCCTGTATTTTGCCGAAAGGTAAAATCTTTAATACCTACACAAGTAATCCTCTGTGTTCTTGAAATTCTTTGTTGAATTCTTAATCCCAGAACATGTAATGTTCCATATTCTTGAATTCTGTAAATCTTGGACCATTATAAGTTTCCATTTCGTTTGCTTTTTTTTTTTTTCTGAAAATTCGTGTTATGAAGTATTAAGCTATGTGCATCCAGTTGGTGTGTAGCCAGAGGGACTAAGGAATCTATTGTAGATGAAATTAGATTATAATGTGGCTCACGGGTGCTGATGGGCCTCAAATTCGCAGCTGCATTAGCACCTGCAAGTGCCGGCAGGGGTTGTAAGTAACGTGGAAAGCCTGGACCAAGACTTGAAATTTCCCTAAACCGTATGCTAGTTGATTTGAAAATGTTATTCAAACTTGTTTTTCAATATAGCTTGCCGGAAAATTTATTAATGGACTCAGGACAGTTTGTTAGAAGATGCACCAGATTATAAGCCAATGCGAGGCTTAATTTGTTAAGGGATATAATCCGAATAAAGATGACAACATAGACAATTTATAAAGGATTGGGTTACTCCTCCTAATAATGTTGACCTTTTAAGATGGAATCCTAATCTTTAACGTGGTATCAGAGCCCATTAATCTCTACCGAGCAATTCGATCCGGTTAAGACTCCAAAAGTGAGCATACGAATTTCAAGATTGGTGCTTAAACAAGCCAACATCTTGCGGGGGGCATGTTAAGAGATATAATCCCATATCGAATAAAGATGAAAATATGGATCAATTTATAAAGGATTGCGTTACTCCTCTTAATAAATTGACCTTTTAAGATAGAACTTTAATCCTTAACATAATTTTAAGTCTTACTTATAGAGCATGTTTGGCAAAAATGTTGCTATCGTAAACCCACAAATTGTGTAGACCAAAATCCATGACGAGCTTATAAGCTAGATATGTTATGGGACCTACAATTGTGTGGTTTTTGATCCACACAATTTGAGAGTCCCCAACTTACAAGATAGCAACCTTTTTTGCCAAACGTGAACATAGAAGAGTTAAACAGTAATGTATTTGTTTATGACTAATTAAGTTGAGCTAAGAAACTTCATTTGTTAACTTGTTTAGTAAATAAGTTGATTTTAAGTTAGCAGTCCTTAGTTTGGTGACTAAAGTACACAGATGACACTAAACAAATCAGAACAAATCCCATAATTACAGGGACTATACTTGAATGAATAAGCCAAGTCCTAAAATATCAAACTTTTCCAATAAAAGAAAAACTCATGTTCAACGAAACATGCATATCTTGACTTGATTTTTGATTTACCAGTTTCTAAAAATGAATTATTGGTGGCTACCCAGTGATACAAGGTATGGATCTAGTGAGAACGACAACTTTTACACAAAAGCAAAACTATTTTATTCACTGATATATGACTCGTGTAAATTCTCTATTTTAACAGAAAGAATTACCTGTCAAACTCTCTTTGGTGAGCTAGATTTTTTCACGTTTAAAATTTAATGGAGTTTTTTATTCGAAAACCTTCTAAATGGTAGAGTAAGCTTGAGTTTTGATATATGCAAGCAAATTTGTATTTCAGTAAATAAAACAATATGAATTATTGTTCCAAAACTGTTAAAACGTATATTCAATACGGAAATGAAGAGAGTATATTTTATGCGCCAAAAAGTTTATGTTGGGTGTGTGCCCAAATTTTAAAATTAGAGAATGCTCATTGCTTCGAAAAAGAATCCAACTGACCAAAAAGGTCAAACAATCCATCCAATCTTGAAATGTAGAGAGTATACTTACACGATCTCAGTCATTAATCATAATCTTTTTCCTTCATGGCTTAAAACAGTTATGGTGTCTTTGCACAACTCACCATCAATCCATCAAACATTGTTGCGAAACACGTCCACTCAGGTTCTAGTCCTTATTCTCTCTCTGTATTTGGAAAATCACTTTCCAGTGACATTTTTTATTGTTCTTATATTTATAAAAGTAAATTTATGCGTCAGGTGGGTCTGTGTAGGCATGGTCATCATCAAAGAAACACCACCTTCTATGTGAGGTCAGATCAAGTGCCTGCAGCTTCAACTTCTCCTTACCAAGGTATGTAGATTCTTCTTAGCGTATATGCTTTTGAATTGAATACATTGTTATTATGATGAGATTAGCATAAATATCAAGATTAAGCTAACTTTCTTGTTTGGTATGTAAACTTGTGTTTAAATGCGTGCACATACAAGTAGGTTTAGTTTTCCTTATTTTGTCTTTGGTATTTTATTCTCCTAGACATGTATATCTATTCTAAACCTAATATGATAACTTCTAGTTGGGGATATAGCCTGCCTGGCCTGGCAGTCAAACTGGTTGACCCAATGAACCTAGAACCAAAAATGGACAAGGTTTCCTAAAGGATCATATAAGCATATAATCTGGGAAAACCAGTCAACCTGAATGTGTTTTTCCTGTCCGAGCATGACGTGTCAAAACTGGGTGGTTTATGTTGAAAAGCAAAAGTTTGCATTTCTTTTACTGTTTTTACAATGGAGATGATGGCAATGATAATGAAGTTGTATGCTGAGATTGATGCAAATGCAGTGTTCCCAAAATCCTTCCATGGCTCAACCTTTTGTTATTTATAATTTTGTATTAAAGATGTCTGGTAGTCTAGTCTGTTGCCTTTTAATCACACTTTATATTAAGCCTCTGTTTGGCCCCAATTCCTTCAAACTCATTTTTAATCATACATTTCATTGGATCCACAACTTTTCAACCACATTTTATCAACTTTTATCAAAATCTACTAATAATCTATTTTTTTAGTTAAACCAAACACGTGCTTATGATTTCACCTGACTTAGGATGCAATAGAACAGTCATAGGAGAATGGGAAAATGGAGAGAAGAAGAGAAAGGAAGGAGATAAAAGGAGAGAGGTAGAAAAGGAAGGAGAATTAGACAGATGGGGGAGAGATGAAATAAGAGAGAAATTAGGGTAGAATATCAATTTTTATTGATATCAAGGTTGTCTGAATTACATCGCATAAGGTTCCTTTATATAGGGATTCAAAAATCCTATTCTAAGTAGGAAATATTATAAAATCAAACCCTAATTAAGTTTCTTAAAATAAACATAATTTGAAAAGTTAGTCAAATAATATCTCTTATAATATTCCATCATCATTTCTTGGCTTTAAAGTAGTATTTGATGTGTAAAATTACTCTTTTTTCTGCTGAATAGGATGCAATTAATGATACTCTAGATGATAAATGTATGAATATACTAGCATTCTCTCACCATTTCAACCAATGACTCCATAGTTGAAACATTGATCCAATCCCCTAGTCAAGTTAAATTCTGGGATGGTTTAAGAACTAGGACACTACTTAATAAATGGAATTATCAACATATTAAAACCCATCAATTTCTGGGCCATAACCTAAGAAGTACACATATGAATACGTAATTTGAATACGATACTATACGGGTATACCGATACAACTTTTTAAAGAAATTAGGATACGCGTTATAAAATTTAACATGGTTTCATTAATATTAAAAAAATTTAAAACAGAAGCATAATAATAAAAATAAAATATTAAAGCATTTTATCTTAATCTTTAATTGTCCCAAACTTCATTTTCTTCGACAACAACTTCTTTATTATCATTAAAAATAACAGTCTCCAACTCTAGCTCATCTAATGATAGATTAGCAACTTCAAGCTATCTAACACCTTCAAGAGTATCAAATAAGTCTCCAATAGTGTCCACATTTTGGATTCTCCATTTGAATAAATATTTAACCCCTGTTTGAGTCCCATTTTTTTAAAAATATATTTTTTCAAAACTCATTTTCAACCACACATGCTCCCATAAAATAATTATATACGTATTTTAAAAAAATTTCTTTACTTTTTAAGTACGCATTCTTCAAAAAATAACTATTCCACAATACATTTTATCCCAAAATGGGAATCAAACATGGGCTTAATTTTCTTGATGAAAGACGTAAATTGTTATAAATGAAAACCAATTATTCAGCTCGTGGTGGAGTTATTTTATTCTTTCTTTTAGAGTGCACAAAAGAGTAGGTACTGCAATTTCTTTCGGCACAAGATGAAAAATAATGTTGCACAAGAAGTTTCAAAGCAATGCTTTGAAACAAAAGGTGCATTTGAACCATGTAGTAGACAACAGGTCTTTGAATTCATATAATATCGATTAGTGATGGAATCAAACTCACCAATAAGTAAAAAAAAAAAAAATTTAAAAATCGATCTATAGTCAATAATAATGAATTTTAAAAGAGTTTAAAATCAATAACATTCTTCTTCATATGTTCTAAAGTATCGGATACATATCGAAAATAATTAAAAATATATATAGGATACTATAAAAAATAATAAAAAACTATAAAATAATTTAAAAATACGTATCCAATACATATCGAAAAATTTAAATAAATAAATAATATATAAATAATTAAAAAATGTATCCGGTACGTATTAGAGGGTATCGAAAAGTATCCATGTCTTGAAGTATCGGATACATATTGAAAATAATTAAAAATATGTATCTGATATGTATAAAAAATATAAATCATTTAGAAATACGTATCCGATACATATCGAAAATTTTAAAAAATAAAAAATATATAGATAATTAAAGAACATGTAGTCGGTACGTATCGGAGGGTATCGAAAAGTATCCAAACTTGGATACATATCGAAAATGAGTACTGTAGGTCCCAAAAGGAGTTTGTAGTGTCGAATTACAAGTAAAAACAGATAAAGAAAACAACAGAAAATCAAGAATCAACACAAGATTTTTCGGCCCAAAGGCCCCGAGGTTCGGCGACCACTTCTAACGCCTAATCCCCCTTGAGCATCCGTAAGAAATACTCTCAAATCCACTAAGAATGCCCAAAAATAGGCAAAAAACGAGTTACAAGTGTACAGCCCAAAAACTGCAGAAAATTTCTCAACTCTTCATCAACACACATGAACTCACACAAGAGTTCATCAAAATACTCTCCTATCTCTCAATAATTCACACAAGAAAATTTGAGAACAATTACAGGGAGTAAAAATGTAAAAGAAAGGGAAGAAGACAAGTCACTCATACTGCCTGGAGAGAGAATGAAAAGTTTAATAACCTAGCCCTTGAAAAAGTCTACCAATTAATTGCAAAAATAGTCCTCACATTTTCCAAGTTTTTCAGCTTCTGGAGACTTCTTCTTGCTGTACATTAATTGGGCCAAAGTCAATATTTGGGCCAGACAAAATGGATTGATAAGTGGGCTCCAAAATAGCAAACATTTTCCAACAATCTCCACTTTTTGCTGCAATTTTGGAGAGTTCTTTCGTGTGGATTTAAAGCATATACCAAACCTTCATTTGCTCTTTATTACCTGTACAAAAACAGAAAGTTAGTTTTCCTCTAGATTCAATAATCTTAAAGAATCTAAAAATTTATTTATAGGTATTACCTTGGTTCCTGCATCTGCAGGATTTACCTGTGTTGGTATTTTAACCAACTTAATATCACCCCTTTCAATAATATCTCGAATAAAATGAAACTTGACATCTATATGCTTGGACCTATCATGAAAAACTGGGTTTTTACTCAGAAATATTGCACTTTGGTTATCAGAATATAGCTCCACCTGATTTTCTATAAGTCCTAATTCACCTAGTAAGCCTTTCAACCATAAACCTTCCTTTACAGCTTCAGTTGCAGCAATATACTCAGCTTCAGTTGAAGACAGAGCAACTACCTTTTGTAATTGTGCTTTCCAGCTAATGCAAGTATCATTCATGACATAAAAATATGCAATTGTAGATTTCCTATTGTCTGGATTTCCAGCATAATCAGAATCTACATAGCCTTTAAGTTTAAGTCCATTTTTATTAGTTTTGAACAATAAACCTAAGTGACTAGTTCCTTTTAGATATCTAATCAGATTTTTCATGCATTGCCAATGTAGTTCACCAAGATTACTCATAAATCTGCTTAGCACACTCACAACATAAGCAATATCAGGTCTAGAGCATACCATCATATACATCACAGATCCAACAGCATTAGAATATGGCACATTCATCATTCTTTTATGTTCATTTTCAGATTTAGGTGATTGATCAA